ATTTGAAACACAGTGTTATCTATTTAAAACACTCATGGACTACCGTCTGTCTCTTATACACATCTAGATGTGTATAAGAGACAGGAGCTAGGTTTTTCTCGGCTCTAGAACTCGCCCATGGATATCATCAGATAACTCTAGAAGACACGTCAATAGAGAAGACTGCATTTAGTGTCCCATGGGGTCTGTATGAGTATTTACGTATGCCGCAATGTTTAAGCAATGCTGCTAGTACAATGCAGAGAGTCATGATTTTTATATTTTCCAACATGAATATGGTGGATCTAGTGCTATATCTCGATGATATATTGATATTCTCAACCACAGTGGAAGAGCATTAATTTTTGGAGAAAATAGAGAAGGTGCTAAGCAGGTTAAGTAAGTTTGGATTAAAACTCAAGGGGAAGAAATGTAAATTCCTTGTTCCAGAAGTAGAGTATCTTGGACACATTGTCAGTAGTGAAGGTGTACGCTGTCTCTTATACACATCTGGGGATTTTTGGGGGTAAGGCATTGTCCAATACGTTTAATATTGGGTGTCCGAGGTTTTCCAATGACTTTCTAAACAATGATGACAAGATTTTGGATTTCTAGAAACCGTTTCATATCCATTTTAAGATACTATTACCTCATCTAACTTTAAAGTCTTGTGTGACACGTCACACCGCTTTTAAATCCACATTCATCTTATTCTAGGTAAAATGTAAACATCCTCTCAAATCCATCATGTGTGATTGCAATGCAAGCATACAACACGCACCCTTCGACCATCCGCGCGTGGCAGATCGTCACGCAATTCAGTTGCTACCGTACTTCCAATCAGCAAGATCATAACCTTCGTTTGGGTCATGATCAAAACTATAACTCAGGATTGATTTGCTCCATGATTTGATACATGGAGGTATCTCCGTGATTTTAGGTACGTCAAATGAGGGCGTTTGTGTCGGATATGTAATCCATCATGTGGACATCGGATTATTCGAATGCGATCTCATCACTTAAACGAGCGCGTTACGTCTTACAGGTGCACTAAGCTAAGTGAAATTAAATCTTTTTTATGTAGATTCTACATCAAGCACATAAACATACACGTCATAGATTCTGCGTTAAAAGCATCAAATGGGTGCCGATAAAAAACAACAAAAAATAAATGTGTAATTTGTATCGTGAGCCTATATATTACGAACCTCAATGTATATATTGCAGGATATATAATAGTCATTATTGTATCTCTCATCAAAAGCAATGGATAAACACTGCAGCATTTATGCCTCCCTACATAGAAACATCAAAGCCCCGCCAAATGTTATCGTTAAGTAAAAATTTAAAAAAAAAATAATAATAATAATGATGATAATAATAATAATAATAATAGTAATAATAATAGTAATAATAATAATAAATAATAATATTAATAATAATAATATAATTATCTTTTAAAAAATTCCTGTGTTTATGCTCTCTTTCGAAAGTTGCATCTTCTATCGCCTTCAATTATCTCTCCCTCAAAGTCACCTTCCAACTCCTTACGTAAAAATTCCCACAATTCCCTATTTCTTCATTTCTCATGTCGTACTTCATGATTTCGTTCACCTTTCTTGCAGTAAAATTTCCAACGAACTTTATCTTGATTCTTCTAATCACCCCATAAGGTATAAAAGAAAATTAACAATCCTATGAGAGGCTATATGCTTTTCGTTGATAGTGCTTTGTTGTATGGATTTGTGATTATATCCCTCAATATTGCTCACAAAACAATAAAAAAAATCTTGCATCTTGAATTTCAAGTCACATAATAAGCGGTGAAAAGTCCGCTGTGTTTATAAGCCTAAACAAAAAGGGAAATTGTCCAGAGTGAAAAACTCATCTTAGCAGGATATGAACATGGGTTTTCTGTTGTATATGCCTTAACCAACTTGAGCGCTGGTACCTTGTTAAGAATACATGAATTTAATTTCACTTTCTGTGTACAGGTATATGCGGGAATAACGCTGGTTTTCAGAGCTTCAGGATCTCAAAAGAGAGGCACTTAAATAATGTTGCAATAGATAAAGTAAAAAATACAGCAATGCTGAACATAAAATAATAAAAGATGGAAATATCTGCGAGACTGAAAGCTAAATCACTATTCGAACCTAGTTTTCTTACTTTGTACGCAGACACCTAACCATCTGTAGCACTGGGCATTTGAATTAAAATTCTTTTGTGAAGTACGGATCTATCTCTTAGAAACACTCACGTTGAATTGAGAGAAATATAATATATATATATATATATATATATATATATATATATATATATTTATTTATTTATTTATAGGCCTATAAATCATCAAAGAAAGGGAAATGCAGTGCTCGAATAAAGAACATGATAATACATCGTGTAGCATAGCTCTCAACGAATGTTGGCCTGTAAATAAATAAATAAAATGTAATTAAATGCCTCTGACGGGACCTCTCGCTGACAAGGCAAGCTTCATAACCATTAGACCACGGAGGCTTCATGGTTGAACAGATTCAAATACCACCAAATACACTCCATTACACAATAAGTACGGCTAGAAACAAATACGGTAGTTGCATTGAATACAATATAAATCAAGATAGTCGTATTGTATGC